CACTGTTTAATCAAGTTCCCTCCATCGATTGTCCATAGAGTCCCTTTTCTAATGAACACACTTTGTGAAGCAGTGATTTAGCCCATTTATTTTCCCCATTCTTTTTTTTGTGTTGAAATACTCAATCTGTTATGAAATTATGAAAATTCGCTGTTGCCAAGCACAGTCATTTACATCTGTATATCCTCAGCTTTTAAAAAAGGGGGCCTTTCTTTGCCACACACAAATTTATTCTACCTTTGGGGATTCATGCAAGGCAGTATGTTACAAACAGGAGGGTGGAGTGTTCGAGGGATTAATAAGATCTATTTTGCTGCATTTAAAAACACACTCCTCAGTATACCTGCATCTTCCTTTCTTTTTTTTTTTTTTGGTACCGGGGATGGAACTCAGGTCCTTAAGATTGCAAGGTAGGCAGCGGAACCACTGAGCTAAATCCCTGGCCCTGCATCTTCCTTTATGTTCCTATAGTACATATATATTTTTCAACCAAAACTTCTTAGAAACCTCACAATTACTTATATTAAAAATCCAGGCCAGGCGTGGTGGCACACACCTGTAATCCCAGCACTCAGGAGGCTGAGGCAGGAGGATTACTGTGAGTTGGAGACCAGCCTGGGCTACAAAGTGAGTTCCAGGTCAGTCTCAACTACTTAGTGAAACCCTGTTTCAAAAACCAAACAACAACAACAACAACAACAAAAATCCAAAGTCCACAATATAACAACATCTAAAGCAACTTGGCAACCTCTGACCTTATCTCCTCCTTTCCACCTGGCTCTTGCTGTGTTCCAGCAACAAAGCCTGTTTCTCAAGCTGTCCAAGACAATTCTCCCTGACTGTAATAATGCTCTTCTTCAGCAAGGCATGGCAATGCATGCAATCCCAGCACTCTGGGAGGCTGATACAGGAGGATCACAAGTTCAACCAAGTCTGGGCCACTTAGTGAGATCCTGTCTCAAAATAAAAATATGAAAAAGGGGCCGGGGATTTAGCTCAGTGCCGCCACCTGCCTCACAAGCTCAAGGACCCAAGTTCAATCCCTGGTACCAAAAAAAAAAAAAAAAGGAGGCAGAGAGAGAAATAATTCACTTAAGAGTAGGTAGGAATTAAAAGCAAACTAGACCCTCAAAACTTTAGATAATAAAAAAAATAATTACAAACTATATATAAGATTTAAATCAAGAAACAAAAACATAGGCACAAAACATCTAGACACTGAGGAGGCGGGGGCAGGACGACCACTGAAAACTCAAGGTCAGCCTGAACCACATAGCACAACATTGCCTCAAAAACCAAACAAAAAATGAAAAGGGGGGCTGGGGATGTTGCTCAGTGCGAAGGCCTGGGTCAATTCCAAGGAGAGGCAGGAGGGAGGGGAAAAAGGGAGAAGGGGGAAGGAAGAGGGAGGGAAGGTTTTCCTCTAGTGTGAGAGTGGATGCCATTTAGCTCTCAGTGCATTATCAACTCCTTACTACCTTAATAGCAAGGATCCTCACTTGAAATTATCTTGGACTTCTTTGTCACTTATACCCAGGACTTTTAACATTGCCCGGAAACACAGAAGACATTACCTGAGGATTTGCTAAACCACGGGACGAGTCAACGTGTCAGACACACAGCAAAAACATGAGTTCCCAATCAAGATTCAAGGGTACCCTGTGAAGATCAACCTCAATATAACACAGAAACTCAAGTTACACCTGTCAGATGAAGAAATAACAACCAGGATGAACAAAAAGTGCTTCAAGAACAACAACAAAAACAAACAAGCATTCCCAGGATTGCTGGCACACAACTGTAATCCCAACACCCAGGAGGCTGAGGTAGGAGAATCCTAAATTTGAGTCCAGCCGGGGCAACTTAACCTACTGAGACCCTATCTCAAAATAAAGACTAAAAAAGTCTGGCAGGTATAGAGCGGTAAACTTGTGTAGGTACTAGGAAGAGGGCAGACACACTCTCTCCATTCTTTGCCCTATGCAGTTCTCAGCTGGCTGTTCCTCAGTTGAATCCTTTACACTAAACTGGTAAACATTTAAGGAGGAGGGGGACTGGCTGAAGATGTTACTCAGTGGAAGGGCCCTGGTTCAATCCTTACTTCAACAAACAAATAAGGCCAACAATGTAATTCAGTGGTAGAGTGCTTACCGATGCACAAAGCCCTGGGTTCAATCCACAACACTGCAAAATAAATTTAAAAAGGCATTTGCCAGTCATGGTGGCTCATGCCTGTAATCCCAGCACTGGGAAGGCTAAGGCATGAGGATCACTCCAAGTTCCAGGACAGCCTGAGCTAAAGAATGAGTTCAAGACCAGCCTGAACCACATGGTAAGGCCCCGTCTCAAAAAAATTAAAAAATTGGGCCGGGGATTTAGCTCAGAAGTTCTGCTGCCTGCTTTGCAAGTGCAAGGGCCTGAGTTCGATCCCCAGTACAAAAAAAAATTAAACACTTTAAAATAAAGGCATTAGCTACCATCTTTTTCTTTTGGGGCAGGAAACAAGGTCTCACTATGTAATCCATATTGTTTTCAAACTCATAATCCTCCTCCCTCAGCTAAAGAATGCTGGGATTACAGGTGTGTGTCACTGCACTTGGCTTACATTATCACCTTCAAATGAGAGCCCAATATTTTCTCCCCAGATCTTTGGAAATCCTTGCCAACAATTTAAAATAACAATTTAAAAAACCATGATAAGTATGACAGAAAATAAATCCCAAATTCCTGTGGATCGAAGGGCTGAGCCTCTATCTAACCACTTCCTACAGGCCCTCACTCATAGATGAAGTTTGGAATTCAAGCTTTGTTTTGCACAGACATCTCATAAATCTGTGACACAGGCTGACCCAAGACGCAGGCTCTTTCATTAGATAAATTCTCACCATTCCAGAACCATTCCTAGAGCCTTAGTTTGGGAGAACAGAGACCCTTAATAAATGAAACCCATCTGGGACAGAAACAAAAACAAACCCCAACATGTCAACCTGCCCTTTGCTTTCTAATTCTGAGCATCTACCCTACCACTTAGAATCAAATCCTGACTTCTTATATTGCCTACAAAGCCCTGTAGGATCTGGGCCCTGGACTCTTCTTTACACAGCAGTCTAGCAACCTGAATGACCCTAAAGCACTGCAATATTCCCAAGCCTGTCTCTGTCCTTAGGCCTTTGCATTTTTCTGCCTAGAAAGCCATTCCTTCTACCTGGAATGTTCTGTTCCCCTCATCTTTTCCTAGATGACCTCTACTCAGTCACCTCAGAGGACTTCTGTCACATCATTCTGTCACTCGTCACTATCTGAAATAATGTAGGTCACTCGTTTGTTTTCTCGGTTTTCCTCCCTCACCCATTACAACACCAGCTCCCCAAGAGAAGAGGCTCTGTCCACGCTCTGTCCATTTTGGTTTCTTCACTGTATCCCCAGAGATTAAGTAGTTGTTCAATAAAGTTATTAAGTGAAGAAATTAATTCCAAATCCAAAGCACTGCTCTCCCACTCATGCAATCCTGTGTACGACGACTTCCCTTTGTCCCAGATCCTAAGTAGTAAAAATCAGAGTGGCCAGAAGAAGAGAAAGAATTTCCTTACATTGAGGAAAGATGATAAAGTGGGAGGGGAGAAACTAGGTACAAGATAAGCTTCAGGGATTATGAAAAATGGAGACACACAAACAGGCCTTGAAATGACTATGGGAACTCTAAAGAGGAAAAGAGCAAAGGTGGAATTCAAGCATAAAGGGTCCTTTTCTGTGCCTCTGTGGATAATACTGCCGCTTCTCCATCATGCGGAAAGCACGTGTGAGATACCGCCATAAACAGGACATACAAGGTCCTTGTCTTTAAAATGCTCACATCCTAGCAGTCCAGCAAGACAACAAACAAGCAAGCAATTGTGGGATGAGATGAATGCTACAGAGTAAATTAAACTAGGGTGGCCGGGGCACACCTGTACTTCCATCAGGAGGGAGGCTGAGGCAGGAAGAGTTCGAGGCCAGCTTGGTCTACACAGTGAGTCAAGACCAGTATGGACTACACAGCAAGATCCTGTCTCAAAAAACTAAAAGAAAAAGAAAAAGGTCAAGTCAGTATAGCTCGTGGGTAAGTGGGCAAGGGGAGAAAGGTAAAGGTGGCAGTAGATATTGGTCGACTCAGGCAGGACCTTTGTAACAAACAGTAAATAACTCAGCGGATCCTCAAAGTCACTCCACGACGTAGATTTTATCATATTATCATTCTACAGAGAAAATGAAGATTCGCAGAGATTAAGGAACTAGCCCTAAACTATACTCCCAGGAACAGGCTAAGCGTGGAATCCACACGATGCAATTTCAAAGCCCAAAGTCCCCAAGAGGGTGGAGCCCCGTATTAGTGGGCATTTATTATACCCCAGGTGCATGAACTAGAAATTATTCCTCACAACTCAGCAAAGTGAGCTAGAAACGCCCACTCTACAGTCAGGGAAACAGAAGCGGAGAAGACAGAGGAAGAGGAGTTCAAGGCCCCTCCAGGTTCAGCGAAAGGGGGCCCACGGACGCTTGCTCTTGCAAGGACCCCAGAAACCAACAGGCCCAGTAGCTCCACAGCCCGCTCAAGCCGCGGGGCCCGGCGCACCTAGAACTGACACGCAGACGCAACCAATGAGGGACAGCTGTCAGGGCGACGAAGCGCCAGCAAAACCAATCAGAGCAGCGCTGGAGGGGAAGAGGCGGGCACCCGAGCGGCTCACGTTAGGCCGTGCCTCTGCCACCCTCGCCCCTCACAGGCCCCAAGGCTACTGAATGCGACCAAAACCTGGACACCGGGAGATGCGGCAGGTCCTGCCTGGGGAGGCGGAGCCCTGGTTGGTGCACAAGTCCTGTGGCAGAGGCCTACGTCCCAGCTCCAACCCAGAGGTGCGGTCCTCGCTGCCTGGCACTCGGAAGTCCCGGGCTCGCCTCATCCCTCCTTCAGCTGGGCCTCAAGAACCACCCTGCTAAGCCGTGCACATCCTGCGCCTCACCTTGTGGGTTTACAGGAACGGAAGAGGGAATCCTAGCCGCACACTGTAGCCAGCAGTACCGTCTCCTGCCGGTGCTCCGCCTCACATTCAAACCCAGGCAAAATGGCGCGGCAGCGGGGCTGCAGCCAGAGCGCATGTGCGAGCGGGGCCGCGGCGTGGGGCAGGACCCCGGCCCCGCCCAGGTTCCAAGGGCCAATCGAAACCCCGCTGTTTTTGCGTGACGTCGCAAGTGACAGTGTCCTTTGATTCTAACGGGCTGCACAAACCCGGTCTTTCGGAAAGGAATGCAGGTTCTGCGACGGGTGGTTGGGTTGTGATCTATTTTGATGAAAGGGCTTGGCACGTAATAACTCTTAACTGTTGAACGAACTGTACAAATTCAAGGAATTCTCCATCCCTCAAGGAACTTTTATTTTAGAGAGAGAAACAGTAACCAAAGAACTTCAGACCTTGGTAAAGTGCTATGAGAATAAAATTAAAACAGGATGAAATGACAGGCAGTGACTTGGAAGGGTAAAAGGGATGATCAATCCCCAAAGAGGAGATGGACCTCAGAAAGAAAACAGCTGTGTGAAGGTCAGCCTGGTCTGAGGCAAGAAAGAGCTGGCTAGGCTGGGCTTAATGAAGTCGAGTTAGAGAAACCTGTACGGACCAGGTGATGCAGGCCTTTACAAGCCGGTGTCTGGACCATGTCTTAAGTGCACCCATTCCAAGATAACCACCAAATTTATACGTTTTTGTCATCGGGGGGGGGCGGTGAGGCTAGAGCTCAGGTCCTTGCACTTGCAGGGCAGGCACGGTGCCATTGAGCTAAATCCCCAGCCCCAAATTTATACGTTTAAAGGCTCACCCATTCCTGTGTGGGAGTGGACCATCTGGAGGAAAGGCTTTAAGCGGTGAGCACAGTGAGGAGGCCATTGAGGGTGGCGGGGCATGTGAAGAGAAACTGAGAGCTTCAGGATGTGTTTTTTGAGATCCCGTGATAAACATACTGCGTGTGGAAAAGAGAAACCAGTGGTGACTACTGAAATCGTAGCCCTCGGTTTTGGTCACCTCCGCCTCCCTCAGCAGACCAGCTACTTCCACTCAGAGCCCATAGTTGGAGTTGCCAGCTTGCTGCTCCGGAAACTGAAAGGCACAGCATATGCTCATTATTTGATAAAACAAGTAGAGCCCAGAATTACATAGATGCCTGGTTACAAACGTAAAAATCCAATACTTGTGAATAAAACGTAAAATGTTAGCCAGTTCGAGTGGCACAGGCCTGTGATCACAGCATTCTGGAAGGCTGAGGCAGGAGGATCACGAGTTAAAGCCTTTAGGGCTGGGGATTTAGCTCAGTGGCACCGTGCCTGCCTCGAAAGCACAAGGTCCCGAGGTGGATCCCTGGTACCAAGAAAAACAAACAAAACACAAGTTAAAACTGTTACCAACAGAGCAAGGCCCTTTATCAAAATAAAAAATGCTGTGTATGTATGTGAAGGCCCTGGGTTCAATCCCAAGTAGCACTGTGTTACTTTTCTCTCATTGCTTACGCAAAATACCTGGCACCCACAGTTAAAGGGGGAAGGGTTTATTTGGCTCACAGTTCGTACAGGTTTCAGTCCATGGTCAGCTGGCTCCAAGGCAGGGTGGCAGAGGAGCAACAGGTCTTGACAGAGAACACAGCAAAAGCAACAAGAGACCTTCACGGTCTTTCCGCTCCTTGTATTTTATTCAGGGGATTAGGGCTGCCCCAAACCAATCACTCACCTGTAGTGGTTTAGTAATCACACGCCCTTAACCCCAGCATCACACACTCTGGATTTGCCCTCCTATGACTGCATGAGGCTTCGGGGGAACATCTAGACCCAAACCATGACAACCACAAAAGTAAGTAAATAAGATAAAAATGTTGCCTAGTTTGAATGAAGGGATTATGGGTGTAAATACTGTGACACCTCTTATCCTGGCCTGCAGATCTCGTAATGTCTTGCCCCTGTCAACTTGCCTGCACTTGTATTCCTTCCTTCCCTCACCGTGACTCAGCTCACCCACTGCACAACTTCTTTGCTGTTTTTCCACTTCGGAACCTCTGCCTGGGATGCTCTTATAGATCTCTGCATGATTTATCTTTTTTTACATTCAGGTTGAAGCTCAGATGTCACTTCCTCAAACAGGCCTTTCACCCTGACTGAATTTGTGTACTCCTCGCCACACCCAACAGCACACCACTTAGCAAATAAAATACAGGATGCCTAGTTAATATAAATTTCATTAAAAATGCTTTTTTAAAAAGCTGGGTGTGGTGGTGTGTGATGGTATCCCAGCACTTGGGAGGCTGAGGCAGGAGAATCACTTTAAGTTCAACATCAGCTTTAGCTACATATGAGTTCAAAGCCAGCCTGAACTATATAGAAAGACTCTGTCTCAAGAAATAAAATAAATAAAATACATTTTAGTATAAATAATGCATGGGACATACTTATACTAAGAAGTCATGCAATGGGGCTAGGGATTTAGCTCAGTGGTTCCACTGCCTGCCTTGCAAGTGCGAGGATCCAAGTTCAATCCCCAGTACCAAAAAAACAAAAAAACAGAAGTCATACATTATCTGAAACTTTCTTTAAATTGGAGGCCCTGTATTTTATCTTGAAGGCTTGGCTTCATTAGATTATTGTTTTCCTCATAGTGTTTATCACTTTCTGCGGTTAACTGTCTGCTTGTCTTTTACCCCAACTGGACTCTATTAGAGCAAGGACCTTACTGAACTTATAGGTGTTACCCCAGCACCTAGTGCACAAAATAGCTGCTCAGTAAATATTTGTTGGGTATTGAATAAAATGTCATATATAAATAGGTGTAGTCCCCTGAGAACGGTAATTATTAAGACACTGAACTATATATTGAGACCCTCTCTCAAACCACCCTCCCCAAAGAACAATAAAATACACCTCTACTTACCCGCTTTATGAAGGAGAATATGCAGCTGGGATCACTGGTTAAGCAAGGGCCAGCTCAGTCTTGTTTAAGAGGTCATTTATTTAAGCATTTTGAAAGGTAATTTCAGAATTATACTGCGTTTGTGCTCTATAGACAGATTGGAATATATCTGAGGCAAAAATACATTTTCTTCTGAGGATTGGAGTGGTTCCCTTGAATTTTTACAGACCTATGTAATGTGCCTGTTTTCTGCTTTCAGGAATCAGCTAGAAGCTTAGTGGTAAAGTGCTTAGCATGCCTGAGACTGATCTTCATACGCAGAAAAAATCTAAACTTTTTCTTGGAATGCCACAGCAAGAGGAAGAGAAGGAGGGGTGGGAATGCAAAAAATTCTGGCAATAATGATTTTAGGGTCAGATTTTTTTTTTTTTTTCCTATTACCACAGGGTTGAGTTTTGTTTGTTTTTGAGATAGGATCTCACTATACAGGTCAGGCTGGCCTTAAACTCATTATGTAACCCAGGGTGACCTCAAATTCACAGCAATCATCCTGCTTCAGCCTCCTGAGTGCTGGGATCCTAGGTATGTGACACCATGCCTGGCCTATACTCCGAATTTTTTGTTGTTGTTCTTTTTTTCACTCTGAGTTTTTAGATGAGGAAACTGACACCCATGGCCCTGACTCTATGTTTGTAGTCTGCACAGCTGTGAAAAGCCTTTGTAGTTTTCTCTGTGTGCTCTGAAGTCTCACCTCTTTCCTACCAATTCAAAAACTCTCTTCCTTTTTGTCCGCTTTGTTAACAAACCGCAAAATTGACTATTTCTGATGACTTTAGAATTCCATACTTGCTTCTGTGCAGGGCTGCATGTTCTTTCTCTGGATGTCTCTCTCCTTGGCTAGTTAGCTCCTTCTTGGTTCAACTCAAAGTTCGTCCCTCCAGATGTGTCCTTGACCATAGTTACCTTGTTTTCTTTTCTTTTTTGTACCAGGGATTGAACGCCGGAACTTTCTCTTGTGAGGCAGGCAACAGAACCACTGAGCTAAATCCCCGGCCCCATAGTTACCTTCTCAGTGACCTCAAAGCTCACTGAAATCCGCAGTGATCTGTTCTCTTCCTTCAGTTAGAATGCAAGCTGGTGAGGCCAGGCACCGTGCTGGTTCATGAAAGTGCCTGACACATACTGAGTACTCAATAATATTTGGTGAAAAAAATACAGAGATTTTTTTTTTCTTCCCCCACCACTGGGAATGAGACCAAGGGCCTTGTTCATGCTAGGCAAGAACTCTACCACTGAACTACCCTCATCCCTTTAAAATTTTTATTTTGGAACCATAGCACACACCTGTAAACCCAGCACTTGGGACGCTGCAGCAAGAGGATTGGTGTGAGTTCAGGGCCAGCTTGGACTACATGATGAGTCAAAGGCCAACTTGAACTACCTAGAGAGAACCTGTCTCAAAAATCCAAAACGAATAAATAGATAAAGAAATAACTTTTAGGGCTGGGGATTTAGCTCAGTGGCTTGGTGGCCTGCCTTGCAAGCCCAAGGACCCAAGTTCAATCCCTGGTACGGGGGGGGGGACTATTGATAAGAAATAAATTTTATTTTGAGACAGTCTAGCTAAATTGCTATCCCTGGTGTCCTACTGATGCCTCACTTCTCCCTCCCACCAAAGGCCTGAAGGAGGAAAGAACTTCATGCCTTCTTCCTGGACAATGTTCCTGATCATCTACTGCCCTGCCTTGTGCTGCAGATGGAAGCCAGAGTCCGATTTATGCTTAGGACAGCACTTTACCACTCAGCTACATCCCTAGCCCCTCATTACTCATTTTTTTATGCTCACTCTTTTTCAACCATCCTTCAACCTCTAATTCTCACGACAACCCCATAAAGTTGGTACTGTGATCAAGTCCATCCCCGCTTTTTTGTTTCGTTTTCTGGACAGGATCTCGCTGTGTAGTTTAGGCTGGCCTTGAACTCACAGGGGCCTCAAGCTCCCAAGTGCTGGGATTATGGGCGAGCACCACCACCCTTTCTATAGCGTACCTGGGCTCAGATGGCCCCAGGTCACCTGGCCGGATGGAAGCTGAGATGTCTGGCTCCAGAGTCGAGCTCTTAGCCTCATACTACTCAGTCCCCAACCCTCTCTTTCACTGCAACCTCTGGCTCCTGTGGGTCAGTCTCACTCCAGGGGAGTCTCACACGAGAGGAGGGCTGGGCTGCTTTGAGGTGCAGCGACAGCAGACAAATGA